CTTGGGACTTCCTCATTATTTATTTAGGAACCGGGCTCTCGCCCGGGGCTTCCTGGCGAATTATGCAGGACACGCATTCGTGCAACATACGTGTTGTTTCTATTGAAGTTCCCCTCCTGGGGCTCGCTGTGTTTTTAGCGGGGAAAGTTTTCCTGCTCAAACTATGCTCCTGGCCCTCGGTTTGCAACAGCAACGGCTCCCGCCTGACTCTTTTGTGCAGTTTACTAAGAATCGCGCTCTCGCTAGGGATTTCCTCGCAATTCATCCAAGAATCGCGGTCTCGCCGGATACTTCCTCGCAGTGTATTCAGACGTCGCGCTTTCGACACTCAGGAATCGCGCTCTCGCTTGGGACTTCCTCGCACTTGATTCAGGCGCCGCGCCCTCGACACTCAGGAATCACGCTCTCGCTTTGGATTTCCTCACTGGATTGATTTTGGAATCGTGCTATCGTTTAAAGCTTCCTCGCGATTCATGAAGGACGCACGCTTCAGCAACCTGCCTGTCAGGGTCTACCTTCCAGGTCTGCCCGTCTGGTTCTGCCACGTGCTTTCTGCTCCTACCCCCCCTCCTGCTACTCTCTTTTGTGCTCCATCCTCCTCTCCCCCCCTTGTCCCTTCCATCCATCCGTCCTCTTCCAGCGACTGCATGGAATACACGTTGCAGGTAAGAAAGATACACCCCTAATGGGGGTACGATCGAATACGAAGAGGGCGGGTATCGAGGGATTGAGGCACACGTGTTGAATGACACGCGAGCATATAAGAGCGAACAGTCTTAAAATGATTGTTGCTGTTGTTGGTGTGGTTGCTGTGTATGTTGTTGTGGTCGTTGTTGTTCTTGAACTCTCACTGCTGCAGAATAATTGTTGATCGCCCCCTGCCGGGTAACCATTGCAGCTGTTACATTAAAGTGTTTCTCCTGGAACTGGCACCTTTTTTTTAAGGGAAAGCGAGGGGTCACCACTTGGCCCCCCGCTTACAACAACAGCGGTTCCCGCCCACTACTTCCTCACAATGTATTCCCACATCGCGCTCTCGCGCGGGACAGGAATCGCGCTATCGCGTGGGAATTCTTCGCAATTTATTCACACGCAGCGCCCTCGACACTCAGGAGTCACGCTCTCGTTATGAAGTTCCTCACGATTTATTTGGAAATCGCGCTGGCGCACGAGACGTCCTCGCGATTCATGCAGGACGCACGCTTTAGCAACCCGCCTGCCCCTTGTCCCTTCCTCTCCTCCGTCCTCTCTTCCCCTGCCTTCGGGGCTGCACGAAATACACGCTGCATGTAAGAAAGATACACCCCTAATGGGGGTACGATCGAATACGAAGAGGGCGGGTATCGAGGTCTTGGGAGGGACATACGTGTTTACGTGTTGAGCTGCACGCGAGCAGATAAGAGCGAACAGTCTTAAAATGATTGTTGTTGTTGGTGTGGTTGTTGTGTATGTTGTTGTGGTTGTTGTGGTTGTGGTTGTGGTCGTTGTTGTTATTGAATTCGCACTGCTGCAGAATAATTGTTGATCGCCCCCTGCCGGGTAACCATTGCATTTGTTACATTAAAGTGCTTCTCCTGGAATTGGCACCTTTTTTTTTCAAGGGAGAGCGAGAGGTCACCAAACTGGGTTGTTGGCCCCCGGTTTAAAAACACAGCGGTTCCCGCCTGCTACTTCATCGCAATTGATTCCCAAATCACGCTCTCGCGCGGGACAGGAATCGCGCTCTCGCGAAAAATTCCTCGCAATTTATTCACACGCAGCGCCCTCGACACTCAGGAGTCACGCTCTCGTTATGAAGTTCCTCACGATTTATTTGGAAATCGCGCTGGCGCACGAGACGTCCTCGCGATTCATGCAGGACGCACGCTTTAGCAACCCGCCTGCCCCTTGTCCCTTCCTCTCCTCCGTCCTCTCTTCCCCTGCCTTCGGGGCTGCACGAAATACACGCTGCAGGTAAGAAAGATACACCCCTAATGGGGGTACGATCGAATACGAAGAGGGCGGGTATCGAGGTCTTGGGAGGGACATACGTGCTGAGCTGCACGCGAGCGGATAAGAGCGAACAGTCTTAAATTGATTGCTGCTGTTGGTGGTAATGATGATGGTGTTGTTGGTGGTGGTGGTATGTTTGATGGTGTTGATGATGTTGTTGCTGTTGTTGTTGGTGGTGGTAGTGGTTTGATCGTGTAGGTGTTGTTGGTGCTGCTGTTGTTGCTGATGCTGTTGTTGCTGTTAGTGTTACTGGTTGTGGTGTTGCTGTTGAACCTCTTGGAGCCTCATACTTGAAGAAGAAGTGTTGGTGATCCCCCTCAACAGTGAACATTGTATTTGTTCGAGTGAACTGCCACCCTCGGGGCTCGCACCCTGTTTCTTATCAAGGAAGAGATTCCTGCTCAAACTGTGCCCCTGGACCCTGGTTTAGAACAGCATCGGCTCCCACTTGATACGCCCCCAGAGGTTATGCCAAAATCACGCACTCGCGCGGGACTTCCCACAATTGATGCAGAAATCGCGCTCTTGCATGAGTCCTCCTCAAAACTTATTCAAACGCTGCGCCTTCGACACTCAGGCATCATGCTCTCGCTTCTGGTTTTAACGAGTTTCTTCGGAATCGCGCTATTGCTAGAGGCTTCTTCGCGATTCATGAAGGACTCGCGATTTTCTGCTCGTAGCCCCCCTCCTGCTAATTGTTCTCGTGCTCCATCATTATCCCTCCCCCTTTCTATCCGTCCCCTCTTCCCTTGTTTTAGGGGCTTCACTTCATGCGTAAGGCAGATAAGAAAGATATACCCCCACGAGGGGACGACGGACGACAAAGTGTGCGGGTACCGACTACTTGGGATATACATGTTGAGGGGCATGCAAGCAGATAGGAGCGAGCAGTCTTAAGATGATTGTTGGTGTTGTTGAACTTTCATTATTGAAGAAAAATAACTATTGCTGATCCCTCCGCGCCGGTGCACTTTCTGTTTTTTCAATTGAGGTGCCCACCTCGGGGCTCGCACCCTGATTTTTTTCAGGGCAAGTCTTCCTGCTCAAACTGCACTGTTGTGCCCCAGCTTACAACAACAACAACAACAACAACAATAACTCTCAGACTGTTCGCTTTCATTTGCCCGCGTGTCATTCAAAACGAGTTCCCCACACCCTCGAAACCCGCCCTTTTTGTCTTCGACCACACTCCCTTTGGGGGGATTATTTCTCTTTGCGGGGGGCGGCGGGCTTAGACAGGCGAGCAAACCTGAACGGGCAGACAATCCTTCGTGGACCTACATGTGCCCGCCATTGGAATTGGTGTGGGCCCTGCAAAAAGAGGAGGGGGAGAACGAGGGAGAGTGGGAGGAAGGGAGGGGGAGGGACGAAGGAAGAGGGAAAACGCCCGGAGAGAAGGAGCGAAGAGGGGGGCAGTTGATTAGAGGCAGAGAGAAAGAGAGAGAGATAAATACAGATAAGAGAAGTAGAGAAAGAGAGGGAGAGAGAGAGTACTGAGGGTTTGGGGATAGACGTGTTGAATGGCACGCGAGCAGGTAAGAGCGAACAGTCTCAAAATGATTGTTGTTGTTGTTGGTGGTGGTGGTGGTTGTGGTGGTTGTGGTGGTGGTGGTGGTGTTGGTGGTGGTCCTGGTGTTGTTGCTGCTGCTGCTGCTGTTGTTGTTGTTGGTGGTGGTGGTGGTGGTGGTGGTGGTGGTGGTGGTGGTCCGCAGTCTCTGGCTCGAGAAGCGGACCCCCTCAGGCTCCGCCCGAGCGAGCGGGCGGCCATTCCCTCGGGTGTGCGGCGCCATGGCCGCCGTCGTGCCCGGCAGGGCCGTGGGGCTCACGTACAGCCGCGAGCGGGCGCCCCTCAGCACGCAGAGCGCCTTCGCGGCGTTGCAGTCGCCGCACGGTACTCAGGGGAGAAAACCCTGGATGCTTCGAGGGGGATTTGCGTCAGCTTTCTGGTGCCAGGAACGTTTCGCGCTCCCGCTGGAGCGCTCCTCAGCCCAACTGCGACGGCATGCTTGCCACGGGATGGCGATCATGAGCTCACTGAAGAGCAAAAGTGTGTGCGCCTTCAGTGAGGCTCATTGCTGCGTGGTTTTCGCCTTTTGCGACCTCCTGGGAGGCCCTCGTCGCCACGGCTGGATTCGCTCTGAGATTCTGAGTCCAGAGAGTGGTATCTTGTGGGGGATTTCCCCAGGTACGCCGTCCCCGTGCTTCTGCGCCACGCCAACGCTGCACCTCGTCCCGCCGCTGTACCTCCCCCCGGCGGCGGCGGCGGCGACGCCGCCATGGGGGCTGCAGCCGGGCGCCGTGGCGCCCGCACCCGCCCTGCAGGCCGTAGGTAAGCGCGCCTCGCTGCCAGCCAGCTTGGGCGACGCGGCCGCGGTCTTCAGCTCCCTTCCGAGGAGGGCGCCGACGGCGCCGCTGGCCACGGGCAGCGTCGAGGTGGTGGACGAAGGAGACGTGCCGGCGAAGGCGCAGAGTGCCATGGAGCTGGGAACCGGCGCCTTCCTGGAGCAAGGCTACGCGCAGCCGCTCACGCCGGCGGGCGGCGCGGTGGCGGCGCGGCTGACGGCGAGGCGCACGTCGGCGCCCGCCCTGCTCGCCGCGCCGTGGCCGCCGCCGTCGCCTGCGGCGCGCGCGCCGGCCCCGCTGGCATCGCCCGCGGCGACGGCGCACGGGCGGTGTGTCGCCGCTGCCGCGGCGGCCGCCCCGATCGCAATGGCGGGAGGCTGTGCGGTGCGGACCGGCGGGCCCGCCAGCGCGGCCTTCACCCAGCAGCCGCTGACCCTCGTGGCGGCGCCCGCGTGCGGCGTTGCGGCGCGGCCAGCGCCGGCGGCGCTGACCGCCGTGCAGTCGCCCCGCGGGATGGTGTTGGTCGCCAGCCCGATGCTTGCGCCGGCCTCTCCCAGCTGGTCGTTTGTGGCGCCGAAGGTTCAGGGGCAACGTCAGGGGGGGATAACCCAGGATAGCCGATAGGCTCAGGGGGGGATGCATCCGACCTGAATCGCACAGTGATCGCCGATAGGGGCTCGATAGCCCACCCCTCCCAGGAACGTGCGGAGTCGCTATCCAGGGCCTACAACCGATCTATCGGCGATGTCCCCTGAACTTCGACGTCGCGATTTCGGTCACATCGTGGGCCCCCGGAGGTCTCTGGACCCCTTCCCTGGGACCGTCGTGTTTTGACGGCCCTGAGCCCAGTGAGGGCCCCCCGCGGGCCGAAAATTGCCAACGAGCGAGGGGGTGGAGGTGTCGCCGATTCCAGCTCGCTGTTCCCACCCCCGAGCCAAGTGCCCCCCCTATCAAAGGTGCGCCGGAAGCCCAGGGAGGCCGGGCCGTCTGCCGCCGCCCCGCCGGCGCCAGCGCCGCAGTGGGCGACGACGGATGAGGACGAGGAGTCGTGGCCCGGCGGAGGAGACTGCGCCGAGCTCCACGAGCAGAAGGATCGGGGCGGCCCAGGAAGGGCTGATCACTGGGGCGCCGCGAACAGCAGGACCGCAGCCACGAGATCTCCCCAGATGTCAGGGCGTTTCTGCTTTCAGCACGTGCCCTGGTCCCCCCGCCGCCCTCCACGAGCAGGAGGACCGGGGTGTCCCAGGATCGGCTGCACGCAGGAGTGGCATTTTTCCCCGGAGCGGCTTGCGGCGCGGGCGCGCCGGGGTCCCCAGATGGTTTTGAACGCGAAGCGACAGCAGCGTCCTGCGCGCCCGGTTGTGGCCACCCCGCGTTCCCCGAGAGTCGCGCACCAGAGGTCACTCTTGCCCAGGGGTCTCTCCTGCGCGATTAGCCGAGAGGACGGGTCAATGATTGAGGCGGTGTGAACAGCAGGAATCTGCACGAGCGAAGTGGGTACGGAAAGAATGGGCACAATGCCCAACAGCAGTTCCTGTTCATTTTGAGCAGGACTCGCTGTCCGCACCGCCGCGGCCTGTGTCCATTTGAGACAGAAGGCCGCCTGCCGAACAGCGGCCGATGTTGGTTTTGGACAGCATTTGTTGCTGGGCATTGTGCCCGTTCTTTCCGTACCCATCTCGGGCGTCCGAATTTCAGCACGTGCCTTGGACCCCCCCGTCGTCCTCCGCGCGCATGCCTCGGGCCATGATCTGCGACCCCCGCTCTTGGACGCCCCCCAATAAGGTCAAGTCGGGCCTGTCCATCTGCAGGAGGAATATTCAGAAATAACACCAAAATGGTCTGGGGACGATGTTCCTAAGATGTTTGACTATTTTAGCGAATGCTTCGAGTATTGTGTTTTGCTTCCAAAATCCGCCTGTAGGGGGACATGCCCGATCTAACAATCAGGAGCTCTTCACGAAGGGCTGGACCCGCGAGGCGAAGCAGTCGCACAGCGCGAAGAGCGTGCGGAAGGTCGACGGTCAGGCCGAGAAGCGCCGACAGCAGAGCGCGAGGGACAAGGCTCGCCATGAAGCAAGCGGGTCCTGAGGGAGGGAAACGGGTCGGAGGAGGAGGAGGAGGAGGAGGAGGAGGAGGAGGAGGAGGAGGAGGAGGAGGAGGGAGGAGGAGGAGGAGGAGGAGGAGGAGGAGGAGGAGGAGGAGGAGGAGGAGGGTTTTTTCACAGTTGTCGGGCTCTCCGGGCCCTCGCTGTGCCCTGGGGCTGTCAACAATCGACCCCCTGGTGTTGAAAGCTCGCCCCGGGGGAAGGTCCTGGGTCCAGGACCCGCTACCCTCAGGACCAGGCTCCTTCAAGCCAAGAGGCAAAGAACATGGGACTCACCCTGGATGATGTGGAGGAGTGACCCTGCGCCGCTTGACACCGCGGTGCACGCCGCCCCGAGAGTCCGTCGACGACGAGCCACTCCGCACCCACAGGGTGAGGGGGGGGGCGACGACGACGACGACGACGACGACGACGACGACGACGACGACGACGGAAGAAGGCGATGACAACGGGAAGAGACGACGACGACGACGACGACGACGACGACGACGACGACGACGACGACGACGACGACGGCGACGGCGATGGCGACGACGACGGCGACGACGAGGGCGCCGACGCGTCGGGGAGGCCCGGCCCCGACGCGCGCGGGGGGGGGGGGGGGCGCGGTCCGAGGCGCCCCCGGGAGGGCCTCTCCGTGTGGGCGCGGCGGCGTCCTCGGATCGGGCCGGGCCATCAACGCGCAGAGGAGGAGGGAGGAGGAGGGAGGAGGAGGAGGAAGGAGGAGGGAGGAGGAGGAGGAGGGAGGAGGAGGAGTTGCAGCAGGAGGAGGAGAGGAGGGAGGAGGAGGGAAAGGAGGAGGAGGAGGAGGACGAAGAGGTTGAGGAGGAGGCGGAGGAGGAGGAGGAGGGAGTTGCAGCAGGAGGGAGAGGGAGTTAGGGGAGGGGGAGGAGAGAGGAGGAGGAGGAGGAGGAGGAGGAGGAGGAGGAGGAGGAGGAGGAGGAGGAGCAGGACCATTGTAAACCCAAGAGTCACCAACGATGTTGGAATCAACCCTCCATCCAAGCTACCTCTTCATATGCCCCTACAAGTTTTCGTTTCCATTGAGGGGACTGGCTCGTTGGAAGAGAACCTTTGAAAGACCCTGAAGCATGCCAAAACATTATTCCCGAGACTCTGACGCCACGGATCAACCTGACTGTTGCGTCTTGGCGATCCTGAATCGTGCCAGAGCGCCATTCCTGGGATTTCAACACCGCGAGCCAATGTAATTGTTGCACCCCCACAATCTTGATTTTTCCCATAACGCCGCTTGTGAGACGTTGACCGCGTGAATTCGTGAAGCTCTTACAGTTTTTGGAAAAGGAATGTGCGCAGCGCTCAAGCGAGAGTCACTTTTTGAAAACGAACCGCTCTCATTCCGTGAAACTATTGCAGTTTTTTGACACGAATGTGCGAAGCGCTATGGCGAGAGCCACAGTTTGAAAACCATCTGCCCTCAATCCGTGAAACTCTTGCAAATGTTTGACACGAACGCGCGCGGCGCTAAGGCGAGAGCCACATTTTGAAAACCACCCGCCCTCAATACGTGAAACTCGTGCACATGTTTGGCACGAATGCGCGCGGCGCTATGACGAGAGCCACATGTTGAAAACCACCCGTCCTCAATCCGTGCATCTTTTACAACGTGTTTTGCGCTTCAGGTGCATGATGGGGAGGAAGTCTCAGGTGAAACGCCTGGCCCGCCCTTTCGACCGGCCTCGGGGTGCGATAGGGAGGAGTTACTTGTAAGGAAAAGGAATGGACGAGGAGGAGGAGGAGGAGGAGGAGGGGGAGGGGGAGGGGGAGGAGGAGGACCAGTGCAAATCCAAGACTCATCAAAGATGTTGGGGTACACCCTCCCTCCGAGTTCCCTCTTCTTAGGCCCCATACAAGGATTCAGTTCCACTGGCGGAAGTGCCCCACTGGGTGACAACAGTTTTCTTTTAATCTTGAAGCGCACCAAAACATCATTCTCATTACTTCAACGCAACGAGTCAACCTGGCTGTTCTAGGCCTCCCAAATGAGCGACGCCAAGGGTCGTCTGCGCCGACCTTTGCACATAAGCTGCTCGCGTAAGGTCGCGCGTAAGCGCCCTTGTTTCCAATGTAACATGCCGCGCCGGCGGCCCGCGTATGCCGTGGCGTAAGCTCGTTATGTCATCAACTCGCTGTTTCTAGAGTCGAGCATCTGATTAAGGTACCTCCTCCCGAAAAGCTGGGCCAGCGTTTCCTAACAAACTTGCTGGAAGGCTGGCCCAGATTCTTGGGCGCTTTCGCTCCAGCGTTAACACGAAAGGTTGGGCCCAGGCTTGTCTTAAGAAACTTCCACTAAGCTGGCCCAGGTTTTTGCAGTGGCAGGTTTCTTGATCAAACTTCCTGCTGCAAGCCTCCCGAGTAGGGTCTGAGTGCTTCCGTGCGGACGCGGCGGCTTCGCTGCGAAGGCCTCCTGAGCCATCAATTGTCTGTTTCCAGGCCTCCCGGATGGGGTCGGAGCAGATGGGGTCGGCGGGTCGCGCCGCATCGCCGATGCATCGGCGATGCGGCTCGGTGAGGAGCCCGATGTTCTCCACGCCGACGTCGTCCATGCATCGCCGATGCATCGCCGATACATCTCCGATGCATCGCCGATTCGCCGATGCATCGGCAAGGCGGCACGAGCCTCCGGCCCCATCGATTCCGACTCCATCCGTGAGGCCTCTATTGTGTGCCCGCGCGCGGCGGAACGATTCAAGGGCGCGCGCCAGAAGCGCGCGGCGCTCCCTTCTCTCAGGCCCCGAGAGTCTCGGGCTCCTGCCTTCAGATGTGTGCCCGAAGGTTGCTGGTCGACTGCTTCTCTCGTGGGCACCGAATTGAAGAGCACCCTCACCGACCCTTTGTGGCGGTGAGGTTTTCCTGACTACCAGTCCTCGAGTAGGGGATCGACTACAGAATTGGTTCACCCCAAGGTCTTCTCATCGAATATATAATTAAAGAGTGCGCGCAATTGTCGTAGATCTACGAACTGTCTACGTATTTGTTGGCAGATTCGACGAGCGTCTCCATTTCGGGGTACATCTATTCTGCAGTCGATCTCCTATTCGAAATCCCGCACGTCTGTACATACGAGGGCGGCGGCCGTAGGGCCGGGCTCGCGGGTGCGAAGCGCCAGAGGTTGCTTGTCTCGGGCGAGGTGCCCATCCGAGAAGACGGGGCGGGCGCTTGCACTCTCGAGAGGAGCAGACGAGGGACGTAGAGGCAGAACAGGTTGGCAACCTGAGCTACCCCCAAAAAGGGCGTTGTCTTCGCCGGCATTGGCGCCGAAGCTGCCCGCGCAAGGCCGCGCGCAGGCGCCCTCGTCTCCAGTGTAGCGTGCCGCGCTGGTGGCCCGCGTAAGCTGCGGCCGAAGGTCGCCGTGCCGTGTCGCGTAAGACGCGTTTTTGAGCGTCGCCCACCTGTTGTCGGGACTCCTGAATTCTAGGCCTCCTAGATGGGGTCGGAGTAGATGGGGTCGGAGGATCGCGCCGCATCGTCGATGCATCGCCGATGCGGCTCGATGTGCAGCCCGATTTGCTCCACGTCGACGTCGCCGATGCCTCGCCCACGTCGACGATGCATCGCCGGTGCATCGCTGATGCATCGCCGATGCATCGCCGATGCATCGCCGATGTATCGCCGATGCGGCGGGATCCTCCGACCCCATCTACTCCGACCCCATCTAGGAGGCCTCTATGAATGGCTTGTCTCTGGGCCAGGGCAAAGCCGAAAGTCGCTCATGAGCGCCCCAGCAGGGAGTGGCAGCTCCCCAACAAAAAGCGTTTTTGGGGGAGAAAAAAAAAGCTACCCCCTTGAGGGGGGGGCTAGGGTGATTTCCCCCCTGGACCCTCCAAATCTCCCCGCTGAGTTTGTCTTCGGGAGGTTAGGGGTTTCCCCCAGACCCCCCAAACAAATCCCAAACCCTCAGGGGAGCTTTTGGAAGCGTTCAGGGGGTCTCACCTCGGGACCTTTCCCAAAACCCCCCAATGTTTTCCCCCTGGACCCACCAAGAACGGTTTCCCCCCAGACCCCCCAAACAAAACCCCAGAGGAGTTTTTGGAAGCGTTTAGGGGGTCTCACCTCCGGACCTCTCCCAAAAAAACCCAATGTTTTCCCAGTGGAACCCCCCAAAAACCTCCCTCGGGGAAGGGTGGTGGTGGGCTTAGGGAGTTCCCCCCGGGACTCTCCCAGAATCCGTCCTCGGGAGAATTTGTGGAGGAGTAGCTGGGTTTTCCCTTGGGCCCCACCCAAAACCCTTCTCAGGAGGTGTTTTTTATGTTTAGGGAGGTTTTCCCTCCGGAACCGCCCAAAGTTCCATTCAGGGACGTTTTCGGAGGGGTTAAATGGGTTTCCCCCTTTTGTGCCGTGCGCCAGCCGCTGCTGGACGAGGCCCCTCCCCAAGCTGTTCAAAACAACATCCTTGGTACTAGACGTGCCCCTCTGCTGTGCCCCGCCCGCTGCTCGACGAGGCCCCTCCCCAAGCGTCCCCGAGGCGTTCGAAGGCTCCCAGAGGCATCGGGGTTGTTGAAGGGGTCCGGGGGGGAAAACCCCCCAACACCCCAAATAAACTCTCTGACGGGAATTTTAGCGAGGGTCCGAGGGAAAGAGGGTGGCCAATCGCGTGTGAATCGAGGGCCAATCTTCGTTCACGGCTGAATCGATTGCTCTAGATGACGCGGTCGAGGCTGTCAGGAGATTCACGCTTGAAATAGGCAGCTGGCCGTCCAACATGCGACCTAGGTCGGGCCACGCGTCAAGGGGGGTGCGACAGATAGGGGGGCAGCGAGGGCTGCAGAAAGGTCCCTTCTGGGCCCCGAAAGGGTAGGGCCTCGAAGGAGCCCCTTTGGGCCCGAAAAGGGCACCCTTCTCCCCCCTCAATTTGGCGCCCCCTCACTGGTTCGCGCCCAACCAGGCCTCGAGAACGAAAGGGGAGGTGGCCAATCGAGGGCGAGGGAGCATGCGGAGCGAAAGGGAAGCCTCAGGGGGGCGGGGGCGAAGCAGAGGGAGGCCTCCGCGTGCCCGCGCCCCCCCCCCCCGGGCCGGGCGGTGGCGCGGCATGGCGCCCGCGGCGGGCGGCGGGTGCGAGCCCGTTGCTCTGCACGGCAGCCTCGGGCGCGCCAGGGCCGCGGCGCGGATGGCGGGGCTCGGCGCGCTGCTCTGCGCCGTCGGCGCGCTGCAGTGGGACGCGCGCCGGCAGTGGCACGGCGTACTCCCGAAGGACCTCTCCACGGTGGTGCCCAACACGGCCCACCTCTTCGGCACACGCAACCCCGCGTACCGGCTGAGCGTCCCGGGGCAGGCTTCCCCTCCGAGCGACGTGCTCGCGCCGTTCGGCGAGGCCATCCTCACAGAGGCGCTGCGGGTCAGCCAGCAAGAGGGCGGCACGGTTCAGGACGCCCTGGGGCGCATTTGGGCGAATTTTTGCCACGGTGATGCCGACGGCGACGGGGCCACCAACGGGGAGGAGCTCGGGGACCCCTGCTGCACGTGGGTGCCCGGGGTCGTGCCGCCGTACAGGGTGTGGAACATCACCAACCCGGGCTCGCGCAAGTCCATGCTCACGCGCGAGCAGGTCGACGAGTTGTCGCCCAGCTCGTGCGAGGCGCCAGGCGGGCGCGAGAGAGAGGAGCAGTTCGCCGCTCAGTACTACATGCGCCACGAGTCCGACCACCTGAGCGGGGATGGCCTCAGGTGGATGAAGTACCCCTGCTTCGCGGCCGTCGCAGCCCTGCTCGCGGAGTGGGCGCGCACCGGCGGGCTGCTCCACGACCTGCTCGGCGTGGGCCCCCGCGCCAGAGGCGCGGCCCGCCCCGAGGAGGACCTGGGCCGCCTCGAGCGCGCTGTGATCTGCGCGGCGGCCTACGTGTGGACCGACGGCGTCGCTGGGCTCACGCACCTGTCGTTCGACTTCGCCCCGCGCTGGTACCCCATCGTCGGCACCGTCGCCACGGGCTTCCAGTTCCACCACGTGCACCCTACCGCGTGGGTGGTCGTGCCGTTGCCGGTGATGTTGTCGCACTCGCTACCCCTCCTCGGGCTGCTTGCCTCAGCGTGCACGGTAGTGCCGCAGAGGCGCCGATTCCGGGCGTTCTGGAGCCTGACCATGGTGTTGTGTCTCGTCACGGTTTTGACTCATAGGTGGGTGCACACGCCGCCAGACCAGCAGTACGCCTGGTTCCGCTTGCTACAGAACATGGGTCTGCTCATGTCGCACGAGCATCACATGCTTCACCACGACTCTCTGGTCACACAGTTCAGCAACCTGTCTGGCGTCACAGACTGCATCCTCGACTACATCGCCACTAGGTGGCTGCCTCCGACGCACTACCAGCAGTGGCTCACAATCACTCTGCTGTATTTCGCGGTGCCCATCACCCTGGGGTCCGACGCCTTTGCGGAAGCCGTGCGGCGCCGTTCCGGGCGCGTGTCCGTGGCGGGCGGCTGGCTGCTCTCGGAGGATCACAGCGCTAAGGTGGTGTGATACCTCACGGCGGCTGTGATGTCCTTAAGGCCTTCGGGACTCACGACAAGAGACCGTCGAGGTTCAAGGCCAGAGTCACCGCGCAGCGGAGACCTTCTGCAACTCGTAGTGTCCTTCCTCCCTCCTTCCCATCCTCTATTTGTATGTTTTTCTCTTCGTAGCTGTGCGCCTGCGCAGTTTTTCCCCTCAGCAGTATGCCCATGCATGCCCGATGGCTGGGTCGGTTGCTCTTGGAGGCCGTGGGTCAGCATGCGTACAGCTGAGCATAGCCGAGCCAAGAGCTCGTGAGCAAAAGAGAAGAGGGAGGCCCCCTCCACAGGCGGCGGTTCCTAGAGGATCTGGACGCCTCCAGAGGCCCAGCAAAGTGCCCCAAGACTCTCTACAATTACACAATATGAAAATACTCTCCCACTTCCCCTGATGGCGTCCGGAAGATATTCGGCACCCCCCCGCGTACTGTTTTTTTACACACAGGATTCCCCGGAGTTGGGTTTTCGCTTGTGTTTTTTTCTAAAATGCTGCTCTCGCTGAGGCGCCGGCCTCATTTCTGCTCCCGAATCGTTCCGAATCGTGCTCCCGCTCCAGCGTGGGCCTCATTTTCGGATCGGTGTTTGGCCTCCGTCGTTCAGGATGGCGTTCTCGCCCCAGCGCGGGCCTCTTTCTCGCGCGCCCATCCGCCCGCCACCACCGCGCCGCACCACCACCACCACCACCACCACCACCACCACCACCACCACCACCACCCACCACCACCACCACCACACACCACCACCCACCACCCACCAGCACCACCACCACCACCACCACCACCACCACCACCACCACCACCACCACCACCACCACCACCACCACCACCACCACACGCACACACGCACGCACGCACGCACGCGCACCACCACCCACTACGCACGCGCGCGCGGAGCCACAGGTCCGCTACGACACGCGTCCGCGGATAGAGAAAATCAGCGCCATGGTAAGGGATGGGAGGGAGGGGTAGGACGTCAGATATGACGCGAGCGCACCTAGCTTGTTCAAGACCTCCTCCCCCAGTTCCTCCTCCCCCATTCCCTCCTCCCCGTCCCCTCCCCCGAAGCCTCTTCCCCATTCCCTCCTCCCCCACCCTTCTTCCCCAGTCCCTCCTTCCCCAAGCTCCCTCCACCCTCCCTGAAGCTCCGAAGCCGCCTTCTCTTCACAACGTGGACCCCGCAGGGGTCTGTGCCCCTCCCCCGGACCGACGTCCCATTCCGAGTCGCTCTCGGGCGGCCCCCCGGCCCAATGAGGGCCCACGGAGGCCGGCAACGGCCAAAAACCATCCGCCGCAACAGTTCTTTGGCATTGCGACGCGAGGAGGTCGCTTTCAAGGCCGTGGAGGAGGAGGAGGAGGAGGAGGAGGAGGAGGAGGAGGAGGAGGAGGAGGAGGAGGGGGAGCAGGACCAGTGCAAACCCGAGAGTCATCAACGATGTTGGAATAAACCCTCCCTCCAAGCTTCCCTTTAATAAGCCCCATGCAACGGTTCATGTCCACTAAGGAAACGAACTGCCTCATCGGATGACAACCGTTTGAAGATTTTGAAGCATACCAAACCATTGTTCTCGGGATTGCAACGCCGCGGACCAACCTGACTGTTGCTTCTTGACGATCCTGAACCGTGCATTCTTGGAGCTTCAACACCGCGAACCAAGGCAACTGTTGCATCCCATAATCGATAATCTTTTGAAAAACACAATTTCTGGTACGCTGATCATGGAAGCCCGTGAAGCCCTTGCAATTTTGTATAAACAAATGTGCGCAGCGCTGAGGCGAGAGCCACATTTTGAAAAGGAGACGCCCTCAATCCGTGAACATTTGGCAACTGATTTGCTTTACTTTGTTTTCTTGTTCTAATAGAAAAAATGTGCGCGGCGCCCAGGCGAGAGCCACATCTTGAAAAGGAGCCGCCCTCAATCCGTGAAGCTCTTGCATTTTTATGTGCGCGGCGCTGAGGCGAGAGCCACATGTTGAAAAGGAACCGTCCTCAATCCGTGAAGCTCGTGTTTTTTTTGTGCGCGGCGCTAAGGCGAGAGCCACATTTTGAAAAGGAATTGCCGTCAATATGTCATTTATGTTGTAAATGTGTAAAACGAGTGCGCGCGGCGCCAAGGCGACAGCCACATTTTGAAAATCATCCGCCCTCAATCCGTTAAGTTCTGACAACTTGTCCGAAACATCTTGTGGTGTTGGGCCCTCGTTTTGAACAGACATCACCCCGCGTCTCCTTCCTTCCTCCTCGCCCCTCCTCCCTCCTGTCTCCTCCGCAATTCGCATGCGTTTCCCCTGCCCAGTACAGCGTTTCGTGGCCCAAACGGGGGAACCACCGACTGTCCCAGTGGCGCACTCAGCATGCGATTCCTGCGCCCAGTGCAGCGCTTCGTGGCCCCAGAAGGAGCTCCACCGAAGGTTTCACTGGCGCACTCCGCATGCGGTTCCTGCGCCCAGTGCAGCGCTGCGTGGCCCCGGAGGGAGCTCCACCGAAGGTCCCAGTGGCGCACTCCGCATGCGGTTCCTGCGCCAAACGCAGCGCTTCGTGGCCCCATAGGAAGCTCCACCGAAGGTTCCAGTGGCGCAGTCCGCATGCGGTTCTTGCGCTCAGAGCAATGTTTCGTGGCCCCAGAGGAAGCTCCACCGAGGGTCCCAGTGGCGCACTCCGCATGCGGTTCCTGCGCCCAATGCAGCGGTTCGTGGCGACAGAGGGGGCTCCAGCGGAGGTCCCAGTGGCGCAGTCCGCATGCGGTTCCTGCGCCCAGTGCAGCGCTGCGTGGCCCCATAGGAAGCTCCACCGAAGGCTCCAGTGGCGCAGTCCGCATGCGGCTCCTGCGCCCAGTACAGCGCTTCGTGGCCCCAGAGGGAGCTCCACCGAAGGTCTCAGTGGTGCAGTCCTGCGCCCAAGGCCGCGTTTCGTAGTCCCAGAGGGAGCTCCACCGAAGGTCCCAGTGGCGCACTCCGCATGCGGTTCCTGCGCCCAGTGCAGCAGAGGGAGCTCCACCGAAGGTCTCAGTGGCGCACTCCGCATGCGGTTCCTGCGCCTCCTGCGCCCAGTGCAGCGTTTCGTGGCCCCAGAGGGAGCTCTACCGAAGGTCCCGGTGGCGCACCCCGCATGCTGCTCCTGCGCTCAGAGCAACGCTTCGTGGCCCCAGAGGGGGCTCCACCGAAGGTCCCAGTGGCGCACTCCGCATGCGATTCACCCACCCAGCTGGCGTCCGTAATATGTGAAACTCTGGCGTCGGGATGCGACAGGGAGAAGGAGGAGGAGGAGGAGGAGGAGGAGGAGGAGGAGGAAGAGGAGGAGGAGGGGGAGGAGGAAGAGGAGGAAAATGAGGAGGAAAATGAGGAGGATGAGGAAAAGGAGGAGGAGGAGGAGGGGAACGAGGAGGAGGAGGAGGTCCGTTGCCATTTGGGCTCAAGGCATTTGTCTTGGGTGTGGCAGCCCACTGCAGTGAGCGATCCTCCTGTCAGAAGGAGGCGGACATTCTCTCCATACATTCCGCATACCCTACTCTCACTCTTCCCATCCTTCCCTCTCTGCCAGGGCCACCTGGCTCGATGAGTGCAGCGGCCAGCCCATCAAGGAATGATGTTGCCGCCGCGCAGGGCGGACGCCGTGACGGAGGCTCCCGCTCGCCGACTCGTTCATTGTCTAAGTCAGATGGTGTTGAGTCACGTGCTCATGTGGACAACACAATACGTGAGACCATCGCTCGCATCGAGGCCATGCAGGGATCGATTTCCGCCCTCGACACCCAGGTCACAAAGTGCTCCAACAGTCCCGACAAAAGCGTCCACGAGCGCTTCGGGGCCATCGAGAGGAGGATGGACACTGTCGAGAACACGCTTGGAGGCCTCCAGCAGGATATCCAGGCTCTTAAGATCGAGTTCAACACGGTGAAGAACACTTCCGTCCCCGAGGCCGCCACCACGGTGGTCAACAGGGACTTCGATCGCGACATCGACCCGACGACTTTCGTCATCATATGTGCCAACCTCGTCACCAAAGAAAGGGTGGAGGCCGCAGTACCCCCCTGGCTGGGCGAAACGAACTGGGATCCTGATGGCTGGGTTCTCCAGGGCGGGCCAGTCTCCAAGAGGTTCACCATCAAATGTCGTGGCGCTGCTGGATGGGCAGCGCGTCGAGTTGGAAAAGCCACGGGTGCGCTCAGACTTCCAGATGGTCAGTATCACAGATTCAATGTTATGTCCACCACCAAATTGCCTTCAGAGTCGTTCGCGTCTACCGACAAAAGCCCGTCCCAGATAAAAAACAGATCGCTGTCAAAACTATCAAACGTGTATTTTCAGAGGCGTATCCGTCAGCCAGATTCTTCGTCGACCGCCACGCAGGTGTTGTTTCTAGCCAGTGGAAGCCGCTCATCCGCGTTACCCCCAAGCCCGACAACAGCCCCCCCCCCCCACGTTCGAATGGGAGAACACCTACGTCGTCGAATTGGGTGGGTTTCAACCGCAGCGAATTAGAGCCCAAGATCAATGATACGTTCGCTGGCTCGAGTGCTGCCAGCACTGCTTTTTGGAGTCTTCAGCAGTTTTTTCGCGATCTTGGAAGAACGCCATTTGAAGCCAGACGCCTCCCCCTCTGTACCTGGAATGCCCGTGCTCTCTTCCACCGCGGCTCCTACTCTCGTTCTTCTAGGCTATCATATCTTTCTCGGTTTCTGCGCCCCGACACGATCGTTGCCCTCCAGGAAACGCACGGTAACCTCGATGACCTCTCCGACTTCTTCTTCTTCCACTCCGGGAGATTCTTCTCTGGTCAGGCAAGCTTCACAGACTCGCGAGGGCGAGGAGGCGTTGCCGCTATCTGTCCTGCCCTCCCGGCCGCGAATGGGTTCCACCCAGATGCAGAGTGCGAGACCGAGGTGATGATCTCTGGGCGCGTTTCGCACTGCCTTTTTTCTATCTGGGCCCTTCGCCGCACGACAACCCCCCCCCCGCCCCCTTCGTCATCTCCCATTTCAATATCCACAACTTTGGGCTATCAGCGAATCAGGTTCGAGCCGTCTCAGCGAAGATACGATCGAACTTGAGAGAACGTTCGCATACCAGATTCGTACATTGTCGTCGTCGCTGGGGACCTTAACCTCGCCTCCGAGCCTCCTATGCCTGCAGCACCTGCCACCAATTGCATCCCGTATGCTGGACTTGCCGAATGGCGACGCCAGCGAAGCTCTGGACGGCGCGAGGTCCAAGGCAAAATGGTGGAGATAGAGAGCCCGTACCCGACGCACTACAATGGTAGCTTGCAGCCTTCGTCAAAAATCGGCAGGATGTTCACCAGTCTCCCTGGGCGTTATCTCACCTGTTTGCAGGTGGACGCATCGGTCCTGGAGCTTCCCGAAACTTTCGAACGGCGTGGGATTTCTGGCCATGCAGCTCCAGCAGCCTCCGCGCGGCCCATCTCGAAGGAGCTCATGTTTAAGCAGTTCGCCCAGCAGACCTGGGACCAGCGCGACGCCGCCGGCCTCGCCCCTCCCCTGAAACCCGAGCTCTTCAAAACAACACTTAAACAAGCTGCTAGATACGCCCGAAACGCCCTCCTCACGAGTGCCCCGACAGACCCGCTCTCGAAGCCTATCCTGATGAGACCCATTAGTCGCGCCGTTTGGCGGTGCGACCTTCCCCCGGCTGAACGACTCGATCAGCGCCCCTTGGCTCGGGAATTCCTGGGCTACGACCATCGGTTTCCCTTAAGGGCCCTCAGAAGCCCTCAGAGACGCCGGGCGCTTCGCAGTTTCAGGACGCGGAGAGAGCGACGAGGCAGACGCCCGATCGGACGCAAGTTTCGCCCTCCGAGCCCACGCGAGCGAAACGGAGACTTCCTCGCAGGGGCCGTTTGCGACCGCTTTTCGACCGACGCCTGCAACTCGCAGGGGCTCGCGTTACTGGCTCCGCCCTGACTTCCCAGGAGCAGATGAGGCGATCTCCTCTCACTGGTGCCAGGTCTTCTCAGCACAGCCCGTGGACGGACGTGCTGGCGAGGTCTACCTGGGACCATTCGGGCCTCAACATGACCTTCGTGATCTCCCCCCTCCTCGATTTCAAGACATGGATAAGCACGTGGATCGTCTTTCTGATAGCGCCCCTGGCCCTGGTGCAACCCCCTATAGCGCTTACCGGAATGCCCCATTTGCTAAACAGATCCTGCATGAGGCCCTCTCTTGGCAGCTCGCGGGGCCCCCCGTGAGGTTCGGGCACAATGTTTTGCGCATGGTGGCTATACCTAAGTGGGAGGAGGACACGGATGAGATCCACGCACGCATCAGAGACGCCGCTGGATTGCGGCCGATAGGACTCAAGAATACGGGCAACAAGATAATCACCACCGTGACATTCCTCAGGCTGAACGATCGCACGCCACTTTCCGCCGCGTCCATTCAGAGAGGTTTTATCAAATCACGGAACTTTGGCAATAACACTGCTCAGATTAATTGACACTCCAGGATCTTCTCCATGGCCTCCTCGGCTCACAGTGACCTCCCAGCGCTGGTCAGCTTTGAATTTGGTCAGGCCTTTCCCAGCCTCAGCCATGAGTGGCTGCATCTGGTGCTGGGCTCCATGCGCACCCCCGAACCGCTGAAGCTCTTCGTGATTGCGCTCTACGCTGACGTGCTGTGCTATGGGGCCTCCATGTCGGCCACCGTGCTTCTCTTTTTCCACGGGTGCGGCATCAGCCAAGGGTGCCCAGCCTCGGGCGCGCCGTTCGCCCTCGCGACGGACGGCTTCCACCGGGACAGGGAGTTCTCGCTGACGAGGGCGCGCGCCGGCCTGGCTCGCGCCTGCGCTGACGACGTCGGCGCTGCACTACGTCGCCCGACGTTCATGAAGATCCTCTCCCGCGTGGTCGAGCGCATCGCCGCGCTCAAGCTGAAGGCGAACAAATGCAAGATCGCGCCGCTGGCCTCAGCCATCTCGGAGGAGCTCGCGGCTAGGTACTCTGAGTGGCTCCGCGTTCACATCCCTGCCTGGGCGACTTTCGAAGCTGTTGATGTCTTGAAGTACTTAGGCCCCTGGCTAGGTCCTGCCGCCTCGATGCACTCGCGGCGCGCCCCCGTCGCCAAGTGGCAGGATCGCAGATCGAGACTGGCGAATCAGAACGCTCCCGCGGCCCTCGCGGCCCAATTCTACGAAAGCTGCGTCGCCTTGTCCCATGTCTTTCCATTCGTGCCTCTCCCGCTTGAGGTTGTTCTCCGGGAACCAATGCTGCTTGCGAAGCTTTTTCGGACCCCGCGTTGCGTTCTCCCGAGGACTGGTTGGTTCGCGCTTGCCCAGCGGGGAAGCCCCAATATATCAAGTATTTTAGCCACCTCGACTGCGGCCCTGATCAGGGCTAGCCGGATTAAATTTAACTGCGCGGCAACAACTCCTGCCTGCCCTGCAGGGCGCAGCTGAGGCAGAGCTGACGTTCGCCATGAGAGTGCGCACGCAGATCCTTGCTCCGCCTTTCTGGCAGCTCCCATCGTTTGTTGAGTTCCTGGCCGCCGGTGCCGACGGCTTCCCTTCTCTCTGCGGTCACCGTCTTGAGCTCGTCGCGTCTGTCCCTCGCTCTCTCGCCCCGCTCTCCGCTGCTGCTCGCGCTGTCATCTCCTCTCTTGATAATCAGATTCTGGAGGCACCGCCTGACCAGAAGTTTAAGGTGCAAGCATATCTGAAGCTAAGGCTGTCTCACGAGTACCACAGTATAGATCTCGCGGATGTCTCCGTCTCTCGGCTGGCCTTCTGGACCCGCGTTGATGCCGTGGTGATCCGCAGCCTGCCATGGGGCGAGGTTCGGGCGATCCTGGCCAAAACGCCCGTCGCTTTTGCGATGGCCGTTCTGAAAGCGCCCATGGGTGGTTGGACGACCGATCGGCGGTTTCAAGAGACGCCCCCGCGCATGCTCGGCTGGTTGTGGCGAAGATGCTCTCTCACGTTATCTTGGCTGTCATCTCTCTTTGTCTCATATTGCTGTTGTCCTCCGTCTTGATGCTTCCACGTTTCTCGATTTCTCTGCGCTTGAGCGGCTTGGCATCGCCATTCCCTCTCGCGCCTCGCTCGCCACCCCCGCTGCTGGGTCTACTCTGCACAATTTCCTGAACGGACTTAGAGTCCGCCCGACCCCGCCAGCGAGGGTCGCCGAGGTGCTTCCCGCGGCACGACGCGGCGGGCAGTAGAGCGGCTTGGATAAGGAACGCGTCCGCATGCGGCCGCGTGCGAGGGGGAGGAGGAGGAAGAAGAATAGTAAGAAAAAGAAGAGGATCGATGTTGGACGCATTTGTACCTTTCTGCGCCTCTGGAAGCCTCTGCGGGACCCGTCCCCTGGGGACCCCATGGGGACCCCTGCCCTTCCCACCCTTCGGCTTCGCGGCCCGGATTGGCTGGTGCCCTTAGACCCTTGGCCGAGGGTCTTCCTCGTTTTCCCGAACGGCGTCTCGCTAGAGGCTTCTACGAGCGATGAAAACAATGTATTCAGGAATAATGCTCCCGCCTCAATGCCGGCTACATGTTTGGTCTTCACGGTTACGATCCATGGTTAAACATCTCGTGGCATCACCAGTCCAGCGCTCTTAACTCGCAAGCGCGTGGCAGGGCCATCGGATTCTCACCACGTCACCCTTCCCAGGTCACGAACGCGCGGCCGGCACATAGGATTCTCACCATATCCGTTTTTGCCATGTCATTCCCCGGCCACGAACGTGCGGCAGGGCCGGGGTCGGACTGGATCGGGATTCGAGTGGGATCGGATCGGGATCGGATCGGGGTCGGATCGGGGTCGGATTGCGATCGGATCGGGATCTGATCAGGACCGGGTCAGGATCGGATCGGGACTCGATCGGCGTCGGCATCGGATCGGGATCGGGATCGGGATCGGGGTCGGGATCGGACTGGACCGGGATCGGAGCGGGATCGGAGCGGATCGGGATCAGGATTGGGATCGCATCGGGATCGGATCAGGATCGGGACAGGATCGGGATCGGAAATCAGGATCGGGATCGGGTCGGGGTCGGGATCGACATGAGGATCGGGATTTGGATCGGATCGGGATCGGGTCCCACAGGGGTCTCAGGTCCCACAGGTACCACAGGTGTCGCAGGTTCCACAGGTCCAACAAGGCCCAAAGGTGTTGAAGGCCTCGCAAGTCCCACAGGTCCTACAGTTGTTGCAAGTTTCGCGGGTCCCATAGAGGTCCCCCAGGTCCCACAGGTCATGCGGGTCCCACAGGTCGCACATGCCATAAAGGTTCTGCAAGTCTCACAGGTCCCAGATGTGTTGCAGATCCCACAGGTTGCACAGGCCACAGAGGTCCCGCAGGTCCCACAGCCCCCGCAGGTCCCACAGGTCCCACAACCCCCCCCTGTCCCGCGGGTGCCGCAGGTCACTTTTGCTGCTGTCGTGGTGTCTTGCTGGAGCAGTTTCTTTTTTTTTTTCTCTCTCTCTCTCTCTCTTTCTCTCTCTCTTTCTCTCTTTCCGACACGGGGCAGACCGGTGCCCGCCCAGGCCGACCGGCTCGCCCTGGAGGAACGCCTCGCCGCTTCGAGGGCCCGCGGGGCAGTGGAGGACCTCCGCCGCCCACGGCCACCGGCGGCGGCCAGCGCCAGCGCCCGCCGCCCGCCGCCACTGGACAGAGCCGGCGGTAAGCCGTCCACCTCTTCTCTTCGCCAGGACTCAATCGACCAGACGTAAGAGTGACCTTTCGCCGGAGTGACCTCTGGTGCGGGCCCAATGGGTTTCCCCGGTCGCCAAACGCGATGCGATAGTAGCGTTTTGCGCGCTCGTGTTTGGCCCCCCCGCGGTCCCCCAGAAAGCCGCGCACCAAAGGTCACTCTTACCCAGGGTCACTCTTGCGGGTAGTCGAATCACGCGTGTGCTGAAATAAGCGGATCCTGAGGTTTTCACCGCTTTGGCGTCCCAGAGCCCTCCTCGGGACAGTCAGAAGCGCCCCAGGATGAGAAGTGGTCGCAGGGGCAGGCCCCAGGGTCCAGGGCCCGTTTCCCTCAGGACCCGTTTGCTTCATGCTTGTCTTTTTGGCCGGGTCTTTGTCCTATCCCCCCCTCCTCCCTTTCTTCACGCTGCGCCCGCGCAGGCTACTCCTATCACAGCGATATGGTGGGAAGAACAGCACGCACGAACAAGGTCGAGGTCGAAGTCTTCTCGTCCCAGACTAAGCGGTGCGGGATGTGCACGGAAAAATGGAGAAGTCGAGACGCCCGCAAGATTCCCTCCTCCCCCTCCCTGTCCCCCCTCCTCCCCCTCCCTCTCCTCCCTCTCCTCCCCCTCCTGTGCCTCCCAGGCCCGAGCCGTAGCCGCAACCGTGTTGCCCCGCGCGTCGCCCGCTGAAGGCGGGTGCCGCGCCATGTGTTTCTGGTGACCTTGCCGGCCGCCTCCCCCGCCGTCGACAATCCCGAAGCTGCCGCCTCCGCCGCCTCCTCCTGCACTTCCCGGTGCTGTACCTGGCGGCCCCGCGGTATTGGTTCTACCTTCTCTCCCGTTGGCCCCAGTTCTCGACCAACGTCACGCTCTCCAGCGTGCTGGTCCACTTCTCGTGCCGACGGTTCCGTCTACTACGCAGTGTGGCCCGCCTCCTCGTCCCTTGGAGCTTCCTCCTGTTTAGTTCGAGGAGATCAGCGCTGTGGGCTGCACAGTGAAAGCGGAGAGCTGCACAGTGAAAGAAGAGATCTGCGCTGTGGGCTGCACAGTGAAACCTTGGAGCTTCCTCCTGGTTAGTTCGAGGAGATCTGCGCGGTGGGCTGCACAGTGAGAGCACGTGAAGCGCTCGAGGAGATCTGCGCTGTGGCCTTCCTCTTCCTCGGGAAGGACGCCCCGGGAGGAGGAGGAGGAGGAGGAGGAGGAGGAGGAGGAGGAGGAGGAGGAGGAGAGAGGAGGAGGAGGAGGAGGAGGAGGAGGAGGAGGAGGAGGAGGAAGGAGGAGGAGAGGAGGAGGAGAGAGAGAGGAGGAGGAGAGGAGGAGGAGGAGAGGAGGAGGAGAGAGGAGGAGGAGAGAGGGTGGGCCCTCGCTGGGCTCGATTCCGCCTGGCGGAGCAGCAGGCACGGGCGGAAGGTCACAGAGGAGCTCGGCGGGCCTCCGCAGCTGCCCCTCCACCTCCTCCTCCTCCTCCTCCCTCCTCCTCCCTTCCACCTACTCCTCCTCCACCTACTCCTCCTCCTCCTCCTCCTCCTCCTCCTTCTCCTCCTCCCTCCTCCTCCTCCTCCTCCTCCTCCTCCTCCTCCACCTCCTCCACCTCCGCCAGGGGCGACACCCTCCGGGCAGTATTGGGCGATGTGGGTGATGGTTTTCGAGCGCGGGTTGGCCCAGGAAACGCAAAACCTCGTGGCGACCGCGTGTCCCCAAACCCGGTGGTGACCCAGAGTTATTTCTTTGGGGAAACAGGGTCACCACCCGGTGTCTCACCACCTGGTTTGGAGACCACCAAACTGTGCATCCTGCCTCCGTGCCCGACCGGTCCCCAATCGGGACCTCGCTAAAGGGGGGGCCTCAGGGGGGAGGGGGTGAAATCGGTCCGTTGGCGCATCGAACCGCAGGAAAAAAATGCAAAACGAGGTCTCCGGCCGCCGCCAGAACCCGAGAGGTGTCGACAATCGGGGCGCGCGGGGGGGCATCGTTTTTCGGAAACTCGATGCACCAGCGCATCGAACTCACCCCCCCCCCCTCAGGGTCCCCCCCCCCTTTGGTGGACCCCGACCCAAGCAGGCCTCGTGTTGGAAGCGTCCTCGTGGCTGTCCCCTGGGCTCGCCCCCGCTCGCGCTCCAGAGCTTCTTTGCAGGCCTCTTGGCGACGTCGCCGCTCAGCTCAGGCTCATCGAATCGAAGCAGGTGCGTTCCAGGTTTAAGTCGGGCATGTCCCTCTACAGGAGGAATATTCAAAAATAGTGAAAAATAGTCTTGGGACGATTGTTTGATAATTTTTTAGCATTGATCCTGTTTATTTGTTGCGTATGTTTTATTTTACATCAAAACTCCTGTAGGGGGACATGCCCGACCTAATTCCAGGTCTCCCAATGTCGGGGAAGCAAGACTCGAGTAAGCCGGAACTCGGGTTAGCCGACTTTTTTTGACGAGCGCGTCCTGGATTTTGACGGTCCAGGTTTCGCTGGGATGTTTGCAGCGGAAGCTCGCGTCAAATTTCAGATTGGGTCTCGTCATTTGTATGATGGCCCCGTCAGGCCAACCCGAGCCCCCCGCACCCGAGTCTTACGTCTCCCCAGCCTTGTGCCGCGTATTGCATGCCCCCTCACAGCCCTGGCAGGGCGGAGGGCGACTCATCCCCATCTGCTCGCAACTAGCTCCCCCGCGCCTGCTCGGGCTTCGGACGGAACGGATCGGCACTTGTTGCCGCAAGGCCATTACGACGATGCTCGTGCGCTCGCCACTCCTCGCCCCCATGGTGGCATGCCGATGTGGCTGCTCGTGCGGCGGGCCTGTCTTTCGAGGCGGTGGTCCAGCATGGTGCTCTGCCGCCAGAGGAGCGCCCGTTTCTTCCAGCCCGCTCGAGCTCGCAGCGCGACATCGAGCCTCACCAGAGGGGGCAGGCCTGCCAGGATGACCTCTCTCTCTTCCGTTCACCCACCGACTAAAGACAAGTCCGGCCTTCGGTGCGCAGGAGCAGTGGGCTCTTCCACTGCACGGAATACAAACCGCAAGGCGAACTCCCGCAGTGCGCTTATTGCAGCTGCCGCTACCCCGATGGTCGTTGGCGCGGGGGCCGCCACTGCAAGGTGAGCAAGGGATTTGTTTGCAGGCCGTGCTGGGTACAGCGCGCGTCGCCCGGCGAGCGAGAACCTTGGGCGGAGTGGCTCTCGCGCCGCCCTCTAGCTCTCTAGCTTGCCCTGACGTCGTCCCGGCGTCGCGGGGAATGCAGGGACTCGAAAGGCGACGCACGCTGCTCGGAGGCCTGGCCGGGTGTCGTCCCTGCTCGTTGGCCTCGCTCTGCCCCCTCGCCGCGGGTCGCCCCCAGTCGCCTCGCAGCTCTGGCGGGTTCCCCCCGTCCCCGCGCGCTGGCGGCCTCTGCCTCTCCCGTGCTGCGCTCCTCGCGCCCCGTGCGTGCTGCCTCGGCGCCTCTCGGCCTGGTCCGTGTCGCGCCGTGCTTCCGTCCGCCTGCCCTCTCGTCGTGCTCATTCGGGCTCCCCTCGCCCATCGGGATTGCAGTTGCCCTTCTCTTCAGTGGGTAGGATTGTACGAGTGGAGCCAATAGTACACACTCGAGGCCGTACAGAACCATGTACTTCGACATCTGAGTTTCGGCGTTCCGGCGCCTCTGCCGAGCTCTTAGAGGGCCGCCCCCCGGGGCGCACATCGGCGCCTGTCCTGGCCTGTCCTGTCGGTGGCGAGGCGAGTGCCACCCATTCTCGGTCACTGCGGCGTTGGCGCCGTGCTTGCACCCCACACCTCTGCCAGGCGCTGCATCGCAGTGCCGCTCCTCCGCTTTAGGAGTTCGCGTCCACATACCGTGGCTTTGGCTGCTGACTTGGCTTTGGCGTTGCTGGACGACTTGCCTAGTTGCATCTACTTGTGGATGCTGTGTTCGTGCGCCCCCGCCTCAGCAGCTCCCGGACCCGCCGCCCGCTGGCCACCCTGAGCGACCGGAGCTCCTGCTCGACGGACCTTTCTGCCTCCTCCTCCTCCTCCTCCTCCTCCTCCTCTTCCTCCTCCTCCTCCTCCTATTATCCTCCCCCTCCTCTTCCTCCTCCTCCTCCACCTGTTCCTGAAATGTTTGTTCTCTAGGCTGCAGGCCTCCTGTTGCCGTTCGCGCCGCGTGTGCCTCGCGGCCTGCCGCTTGCCGCGTGGCCTCTCGAGCGCGTGCTTGCGGGGCTGTGCTGTTTGTTGTTGTGTTGCCACCTTTCCCCACCGTCGCCCCTCTGCATCCCCCATCCTTCGCCATCGCGTTTCCCCCCCGTCTCGCCCCCGGATAAACATAAGAAGTCGGAGGTCCGCGCGGATTTCTCGGATCGGCGCTGGGGCCCCCTCCATGGCGCGCGGAGCGCGCCAGGGGCGGCGCCGGAGGCGCCGCCGGGAGGCCCCAGCGCCGATCCGAGAAATCCGCGCGGACTTCCGAGTTTTTATATTTATGTCACTTTATGTTCCCCTAGTTGTGTTGTTTGTTGTTGTGTTGCCACCTTTCCCCACCGTCGCCCCTCTGCATCCCCCATCCTTTGCCATCGCGTTTCCCCCCCGCCTCTCCTCGGCTCGGGTTGGCTCGCACGCCCTGCCGGGCCTTCGAGCCTCCCTCGCCATATTCGGGCCGTGGTCTCTTGGGTCCGCCGCTCGAGCTCTCTGCCCGCGCCTGGCCCCGATGCTGTATCCGTTGCCGCGTGGTTCTGCTGCCTGTGTCTCGGGCTCTCCCCCACGGGCTTTTTTGTTGACCGTTGCGCGGCCAACGCCCCCCCTGCGGCTTGCCCCTTACTGGGCCGGGGTTATTTCATCGCTTCGCTCCTAACGGCGGCCCACATTGCCTCGCCGCTTGGGGGCCGTGTTGGGGCCTCCCTCTGGGAGGCAATTTGGAGGCCTCCCGGGGGCCGTGTTGGGGCCTCTTGGGGCCCCTTA